GTAACTCCGGTGTATGAGTAGACTTGGATCCAGCAGTGAATATGCAGCAAGTCATCAATCGGGAATCATCTGGAATAGAGATTGTCCCTTTCACGTCCTCTGCTATGAATAGAAAACTAGTATGTTTTATCCTCTGTGTGCGTTTGGAAGGTTGAAATTGTGGCACTTTGCAAACAGCTGTGTAATTACTGTGTAATTACTTTGTGTGGACGTGGGGGACAAGACTTACTTATTGTACTTAAGTATAAGTAGGAGCAAGGGAAGAAGAAAAGGTTTATCAACATTGTTGATACTAATGTGAAATTATGAGGATTGTAAAAGAGGAGAATTCATTGGGAAATGAAATATGAAGTACTCATTAGTCAGTTTTAAAAGTGGTGTTAGGCTTCCAAGACGCCCTTTGGTTTCTTCGGTTTTCAAGAAAAAAACAATAAATTAGATATGTGTGCAAACGTATGAAGAACAAAGGGAAACAATTTAATGAGAACATCCATCCATCCATTGTCAGACCGCTTATCCTGCACACAGGGTCGCGGGGGGGCTGGAGTCCATCCCAGCCAACTTCGGGCGATAGACAGGGTACACCCTGGATTGGTCGCCAGCCAATCGCAGGGCAACACAGAGACACACAACCATTCACACAACTACGGGCAATTTAAAGTCCCCAATTAACCTAATCCCCAGAGCATGTCTTTGGACTGTGGGAGGAAGCCGGAGAACCCGGAGAGAACCCACGCAGACACGGGGAGAACATGCAGACTCCACACAGAAAGGCCACTGGGCGGAATCGAACCCAGGACCTTCTTGCTGTGAGGCGACAGTGCTAACCACCACGCCACCGTGCCGCCCCTTAATGAGAACATATCAAAATCAAATAAATTGACACAGAAAATGAATAAATAATAATAATAGTTTGCATAATTCTAAAATCTTGCATATTATCAAGCATTCGGGGCCACGGTATTGGTAAAGAAAATAATTTTACTTCAGTCTACATTACAGGTCATTTAGCAGACGCTTTTATCTAAAGCAACTTATATTACACTTTAAACCCATGGCTTTTTCACATTTTTGCCTGGGGAGCAATTAGGGGTTAGGTGTCTTGCTCAGGGACACTTCGACATTGAACATGGGGCAGCCTGGACTCGAATCACCAACCTTGTGCTTCCCAGCACACCTTCTCTAACCCCTGCGCCACGACTACCCCCTTTATGCTTGTTTCCATAACTCATGATAACAATCCTACAATATAATTGCTGTAAGTCTGTAGGCCCCGAGCGATTTTAAAGCAGCTTGTTTATTGTCTTTCAGCTGCAGGGCTCTCCTCCAATATTCATCCAATTTCAGATGTAGTTGCACCCATGATCATTTAAACACAAATACATGTGAAACAAGGGTCCAGATTGATTAATACCAAATTCACTGTTTAATGTCAAGACAAAATATCACCTATACAAAACTAAATGTTTTTTTTGTCTTTACAGACAGCAAACACAAGCAGCAACATAATGCACAATGACATGTTGTTCATAACAGTCCAGCATCACGACAGTGTTTATAGAGGAATAACTAATGTAGATACAACCTTTCCCTCTCGATGAAAGCGATCCTCTAAAGGTTATCAGATGGATTTATAATCCGAGCAGATTCCATGTGTGTGATGCTGCCTGTTCCAAAGAGGTAAACCCCATTAGTCTCTCCCTCAAAGTGGTTTTCACGTACAAAGGTCAAGAGGAATTTATGCTAATTTGACCTCTGCTAAGTCACTCGACACACCCACAAAGAATGAAGCAGATTTTTTTCTCTCTCTATTCACCTAAACTTCAACTTTCATTGATCTTCAAGGACACCGGCTGTGTGTGATTGCACATTGGTTACACACTATGTTTACTTTATAATAATTTCACGTCTTTGACATTCGGAAGGTACAGCAGGTCAAACACAGAATGTCAATATTTGAGCGTCTTTGTTTTGGAGGAGAGGGGTGTTCCGTCTGCCCTCAGTGGCACCGAGAAGGTCTTTTGCTGGCAGTTCTCCCAATTCCTTGACATATTTCACGGGAGATTTACTCTGTATTGTCACTGTGTGGTGGATCAAAGCTAATGCCCAAGTTCATGTTGGAAAACGGTTATTGACATAAAGATGGGCTACAGAGAGAGTAGCCCATTCTTGAACTGCACCAGGGCCCCTGGGGGCTCAACGAGTCCATGACTCCTTCATGCTAGTTGGTTCTTGGTGATTGATTGCAAATATCTACACCGCTAAGACACAGAATGAGCTCAGTATGTATCCCTGTTATCAGATGGACACATTGTAAGAACATAGTTAGTATACTTAATTGTTAAAGGCAAACGCAGGTAGTGATTTTCCCAACTGGGCCTTCAGTGACGTCCTACACAGATCTCCCTGAATGAATCTACCCCTATGCCTGTGACAGGCTCGCTAGCATCAGGGTCGGCCGACCTCTTCTCATGGGGTCTAGCTTTTACAAATCCATATCTAATTGTTCACTGTTTAGTGGACTGTCTAGTTTCAATTTACAATTAACGTTATCAATTTAAAAGAAATAATATAGTCTATTTGGTGCTCTTTCCGTTCCTATAATTACTTTTGTCATGGACTGGAAAGGCACAAAGAGCCCATTGAGTGACCATGAATATTAAGAGATTCACATTCAACTCTAAAAATTATGATTACACGAATAAACTATCTTCGTTTGTGGTGGAACAGTATAGTTCACAATATTGGACAAACATTCGTTTTTCTCCTGTGCCCTCTTGCAGGTTCATCTGGAAACAATGCAAACAAACTTTTCCTTGAAGTGAAATGATACAGTATTTCAAACAGACACGGAACACATTTCTGAAAACCCTTTTTAAATACTACCCCTTAGAGCCAAAGATCCAAAATGCTGCATATATGTCACAAATGGTGTTTATGAATACAAGAATTCTTCATTTGAAAACTAATCAACTTGCCACATGTTTTACTTTGTATTTTGCAGTATTCAATTTTGTTGTTTGACAAACGCGGCCAAAGAAGGGAGTGCAAAAAGCACCAAGCTATTGAAGCATATGAATCATGAATATCTCCTACCTTTGCCATTGTGAACAAAATTATCAAATGAATCTCTTTCTACTCTGCAATGGGAGCACCTTCCATCTTGCATGACTCACACTGCTTCTTGGCGGTTAGGGGATCGAATTTCACAGGCATACTTCATTTTCGAGCGTCTTTTACGCTCTCTCCATTTTGGCGTTTGTGGCTAAGGCAGCTGTCGATCATTTCCACGTGGCTTTAGTCGGATCCAATGAGATCAGACGAACAAAAAAAGTGTTTCAATGATGCAAATCGGCCATCCACAGACCTCCCCTCACTGGGCCGTGAGTCCTTCACAAAAACCTCCTCTAGAGCAGCAATCCTGCCTCTATCAACATGAAAAGTACATCTACATAGTAGCACCTATGTAGATGTACTTTTAGCCTGGTATATAGTCTGGGTTTTTTTGTGTGTCATAGTGATTTATTTCTTCACCAGTAGCATATAAACTGGTTTTCCAGAGTTATTACACTTTTTATCATGGGTGTCCCATTTTCGGGCCAAAAATGTCAAGGCAAAAAGACGTTAAAAGGGCCATGAGCATCTAGCGAGTTCCAGTGCTAAGGACTGGGATATCATGCTTGATGACATCATCATTGTTCTAACAGAATTTTGAGTCAGCGTTTCACACAAAAATATTCATACTAGAATATTCATACTAGAATCAATGTCTACCAGGTGGAGTTTTGTTCATGAATAAAAGCCACAAACCAATGCCCAATGGAGTAGGCAGAGCTGCTCTTAACTAACTGTGGATGTTAGGGGAACACCTCAAAGTATTCTTGTACAAAGGTGCTAACAATATCCTCAGTTCTCATGTGTTCCCATACAAATGTAAAACAAAATGTTGACTTCCCCTCGTTATATGCAATTTAGTCTTTTCAAAATGAACTTCTGTCTTCACAGAAAACAACTTGACATGTGATTAAAATTTCATGAACCTGGACGTTACCTGGAATGTTCCCTTGTGGCCGACTAAGACGGCACATAACAAGTTCTTTTTATTGGATTGCTAATTTTTTTATCCTGTTCATCATGCTGAATGACTTAATTCCTGAAAGGTCATGAACCCATCTTTGGTATACACAATAAATATGTAAAGTAGTGCTTTTATGTGATTCTGTGTCAAGAAACTCAAGTTCTGTTGAATGAATCAACCAATCGTTTAGTGGTAAAATTCATATAAATTTTAGTTGTCTTTGAAGACTACCAAAGGTAAGTACCTTCACAAAGTGAATCGGGTAAATGTCGTTTTTTTATTTCCACCACTCTAACAACTCATCACTAAAAAGCTTCGTGGTTCAGAGTCAAACGTCAAATGCAGATTTAAGATATCGATCCTTTTCTGGCAGGGACATTAAAGACAGCTTCACATCGCAGCCTCCGATTTTGTGTCTTGATAAATTGTGTCTTGATTCCGGCAGTTAGATACAGCGGGTTCACAGGTATCACTTCCTGTACTTCAAAGGCCTGTCGCAATCACCTACCTGGCCTGCACGAGCAGACAATCTGCTCTCATCGACCGTAAAGCCTCCTGTATTATATAAACACACCAGGATTCACCGTTGGAGGAGAAGCAGCAGCCTCACTGACAACACTGCCTGGTGTAAATAGCAGAGGCTGCTCACTGGGCCTTCAGCACCGCGGACAGCTCCGGGCGCCATGTCAGCATCCATTAACAAAAGTGTCACGCTGCGTCTGAAGGAACGTCTGCGCACTCGGCGACAACAGTTCACCCCGTCACTTCTCGTTCTCTGTGCTGCTACCCGGCTTCTCAGAATCACACCATCATCGAGGGGGGGGGTGTTGCGCTCAGCGCTTCCTCTCAACCAGCACCTCCTCCCTCACATAGCCAGGCGGGGGGGGGGGGGGCGGATGTAGAGATGTAAGAGCAACTCTCTCGGTTCCGCGATGAGCGTGTCCGCAACTCTCCTCCCCTCCACGGCACTCCGGGCCGGGGGCTGATGTGCGTTGGCTTCTCTTGTCAGACGCTCGAGCTCAAGACCTCGCAGATAATTAATCGTGACGGATCAGTTACCCCCCCACCCCCCATCCTCCTCCCCTCCCATCAGCCTCCTCACCCGCTCCCACCCCTGTTTAAGATTCCGCAGTTGACAAGACGGCGCGCTGCTCACCGCCGCATCCCGCCCGCGCCTGACTTTTCTTTCTTCGCTGAAAACCTGGATATTGGAGGCTTTCTTTTCCACAAGTTTTTGAATCGCACGAGGAGCTTACAATGACCGCCGCCAAGGAGCAGCCGAACCAGAGGCAGAGTCAGCCGGATGAGGTGAGCTCTTGGCTTTCCCTGGACGCGGTTTGCAGGTTCCGTTCCACTTTGTGCGTAACGCTCAACTCTATGCAGCCTCTGTTCCGCAAGGTCAGCCCGCTCTCCAACGCGGAGCCTCGTCTCGCGGGCGGTTCACGTGCACGGAGTGATACGGCATCCGTTCCGTGGCTCTTTTGGCTTTCTTGTCACTGCCGGTATAGGTTCTTCTTTCGGTCCGACTCCGGGTGGCGGAGGGGTGGAGGTTTGTGACTGAGGTTGATGCCGCCGCCTTTGAAACCATTCGCCGTGCGCTGATTGTCAGCACCGGACATGTTGCACGACCTGGGCACATGCATTGTCATTTTGGGTCGCTGACTTGACGGAGAACAGTAGTTAAAAAACAAATCTCTTTTCAGGCAAAGATGGGAATAAATGGCCCTATGAGCGCATTCCACTTTCCAGATAACAGCCTCCGGACCAGCACCTTCAAATGCTCCCGTCGGGTTGTAGAGGTTAAATGTTATTGTTCTCGGCACCGTTATGCACTGCAATGATGCCCCCCGCCCACAGAGTTTAAGGGGAATGACTTGAAAGTGTCGGCCAGTCTGTGGAAACTTGGCAACTCGTGCATTTATGTTTTGCACCAAAACGCCTCCATCACACATCCCCCATCAATGATTGATTTCCCTTCTCCAAAATCTTCTGAGTGCTCCTACCTCGCAATAACCTCTTACTCAGTCAAAGCTTTTCTTTTTACACCTCAAACTCATTCTGAGAAAATGTTTCAATTTAGGACTCCCCGCTGAGAGCCTGCCGAATATATCCTTGGTGTTCCTAATTGAATTCAGAACCTGTAGCCCGATTACTCCAAGAAATCAAAAAGACCTCGGCCTCATAATTGAGTTCCTGCGCTTGGAATATCAGAAGCGCCTCCTGAGATGTCGGTTGAAATACGATAGCTCACGTAGCTTTCAATAGTCCACCGCTCAGTGGCCCCCGGGCCCTCTGAGGCATGTTGATTCTGTGTGTGAGCTGACTTAATTAGTGTTGCTACTGTACTACTGTGTCCCGCTGTAAGGGGCCGTTCATGTTGTGGCGGACATCATGATTGTTTTTGATATTGCCCTTTTTTTGCGTGCCAATGAAAAAGTCCGAAACAGTTAAAGGACACCAAGAATATTTCTTTTCAATGTACAAAGAGTCAAATTGTCATAATCACATTTGATGATGACAAAATCAAACGATGGAGGGACTGAAAGGCTGAGCGGTCAGTTGAAGACGTTGCGTGAGCAGGCCAGCGAGCCAGGGGGAGGGTTGGGGGGGGTCAGAGCAGTACTATTACTGTGCCAGGGGTCTGTAAACTCACAGCACGTATACACAGACTTTTTGGCAGGCTCTTAACTGGGTTACTGTACATCAAAGCTGCATGTTGATTCCAGGCGATATTACAAAAGAGGGAAACACAGGGATCTTAATTTAATAGTGATAATAATATTCAGCCTTCAGCATCTTTAAAAAGAGTTGAGGCCATTGTTGTTAAAACCTCTTATTTTAGTTTGCGGTTGAGTACTCTGCAGCTCCAGGGTTTCTACATTTGTGTCTGGTTCACTAACCGGCGGGTTCTTGGTATGCACCGACACTAGTGTTCATAGGAGCTACTTTTAGAACTCTCAATACAACAGGGAGCTTTTGACATGGATTTATTCGATTTTTCTTCATCAGGAAAACCAAAGGATATCAAGATTCATAACTTCATTAGAAAAATGAAAATGAATAAAGATTCAGTGACAAAATTCATTTTTATTTAATTCTGAGGGTTATGAATATATGGAATATTTTGGTAGAATTGGCAACAACCATACCCTTTTTTGAGGGGGGCGCGACCTTCCTCTTGTCACATGCATAGTTCATTTTTTAACCAAACATTAACCGTAGGTTAAATAAATGTGTGTTAGTAAAGTTTGGAAATTATGCAAAAAAAACAAGTAAAAAAATCAACATTGATTAGTTACACACAGGACAGCGACTGCTGGGTGAAAGTTTGTGTTTGTTCGACCACCCCTAGAAACATCCATCCAAGTCTAATAATGACAGGGATGTTCTCCACTGATATTAAGTCAGCATTTGACGAGTGGGGAGTGGGAACGGGTCATGCTGCTGTGGGAAAGTTGGATGAAGAGCAAACTGGTGTTTGAGTTGCATTACTGCAGGTAGGAAAAGGCTGCGGTAAATACTGTAGCAGATGATTTTAATACTGGAAACAATGTAGAAGGTCATCCAAATGAATGTTCAGCCCATGTTCATGCTCACTTCTCTATGAATACAGAGGAATAGCTCACGGAGAAGCGCATTTACTAAAATACCACAAATTCACTCATTTCAGAGATCCAGGAATGATTTAATCATTCTTAATAGACATATGAAATTACTTTCTTTCAAATTCCATCGAATGTATAGTATAGATTTAGATGTGGATTCATTCGTTTTTGCCTAATTTCCCTCTTTTTCACTCTCAGATTGGATCCAAGGGTTAGAACTTTTGTGGCCTCCTGCTCAAAGGCGCCTGGCAGACATTTGTCGGAGCAGGAGACAGTGCACCCCTCTTGCTCATGGACTTTTCTGTCCAAAATGTCCCAGCCAGAGCACCTTCAAGTCATAAGCCGCCTGTATCCTGAGGCGAGTGTGCCCCGAATTAACCGACGCTGAAACATGTTCTCTCCTCAAAAGGATTAAAAGGCAATTACAAAGTTTGAGTCACCAGCTGTGGCACAGACAGGGACAGACTGCCGTGAAACCAGAGATAGTAGGAATTAGTAAGAAGGAGAAGTCAGACCGCGTGTGTGTGTGTGTGTGTGTGTGTAAATACGTGGTGGAACACACACAAGTACCTTTATCCACTCAGATATGATGGGTTCAGCAGTCGCCAAGGTAAACTGTATATATGAAATGGATTAGTTATTAGTTTGTTGACTGGGGTTTTGAATACTTAAAATGAAATTTCTAAGTTGGCGTCTGTTTTTTTTGCCAAAAAAATTTGGTAATCATATTGTAAGGTGTAAATTTGAGCGTGAACTTTAGCCGTGTCCCTGAGAGTCCGGCCATGTGTAAGCTCAGATTGGCTGCTGTCAAAGCTTTAACATGAAAACATAGACGAGGGCGACACTAGTGACCTGTCAATCACACGGTTGCCCCGCACTGACTCATTCGCTGCTTAAGGTCTATTCAACCCATGGACCAAACGGAAATCCTCCTGTATTGAAGAAGACTTGAAACTAAAGATTGAGACCATAAATGTTTATACTGTTTACTGAGGAAATACATTAGGTGAAAACTAGTAATTGTCTCATTGACGTCTACAGAATTAGTCTACATTTTGCAAACAGAGGGGTTGTCCCTCATGGAATACACGTTTAAGGCACTTCTGCATTGGTTTTCACTTTTTAGACCTGGAGGTCACAGTGAGCCACTGAGCAACATATTTTATGTTTGGAGTAAAACAGTGGAGTCAATGGTGGTCTACTTGCAGCTTTTTCTAGAACCTCTTCTCCAAAAAGCTCCAAACCCTATCCCACACTTTTCATACCATGTCCATAGATCTCCGGTCTAATAAACCTTAAATACATATGTACATCCTCAAATCCCAAGCCCTCACTCTCAATATTGCACTTCCTTAGGTCTTCAGAAATTGACCCACTACGTGTAGAGACATATGGATTGTTAGTTCTCAAGAAAGTTACTACTATAGCTAGTTTCTGTTTCCGAGTTGACCTTTTTTTTCTTCCCAAACTGACTAAAATATTTTTTAAAGAAGTCATGTTGCTTCAGGCAACTTTCTCCAGCTAAACCATCAGCTCTTTTCAGGATGGCCCACATTTGCCCTGACAGCTCAATTTAAATTAAAATGCTAGATACATCCACCATTCTCAGATCACCTTAAACCACATAATTGTCTCATGAACAGCAGCAAGAATGTAGTGAAGAATTACAACCACAAACGTCCAGAGAGATACACCCTCTCCAATGCCACCTGTTCCCCCCCTTGTTTATTCTTTGTGACACAGCCTGGTAAACATGAGCTCTCTGTGTGCAGTGTACTGTCCTTCTTAGTGAGCTTTTCAAACATTGGCCTCATGATGCAATATAGAGCCCCCGATATATACCGCTTGCTTTGGCAGATGGTTGTTTGTACAGTTCGACTATTTCATAAGCCACATCTTGTATCTTTTCTATCTCATTCCCCACTCTCTCCCTCTTTTGTGTGTTCACCATTGATTTTATACACAAAGTCAATGTGTTCATTGTTAGTTACTTGATTTAACATGCAATGTTATTTTAGCCGAGATCTATGGATATTAATGCAATTTTTTCCTATCCTCTACTCAAACAAATGCTGTGATATACAACATTTATTCATTTGTAAAGTATACTGTGGCGGACACCTGTATACTGTAGATCAGGGGTCTTCAACGTTTTTCAGGCAAAGGACCCCCAAACTGATGGCGCGATGGAGCAGGGACCCCCTATTCTACAGAGTTTGGTTTGGCATCTTTTATTTTTGAGCTTTGCGCTCTTTAAACGTGAGCATGAACGAGTGCGCTCTGTCGTATCAGCATGAAAGGAGCTGTGAGTGAACCGGTGTCCAGCTTGAGAGCTGCTGTGGGGAGCTTAATGTGTGTGTTGCGGACTGAAAGATAACGTCTTCTCCGTCAACAATATGTTTCATGTTAATGTGTATTTAAAGACAATAAATACAATTCTGATTCTGAAGACAAAAAAAAATAATTGGTTGAATTGAATGTCTTATTAACCAAAAATGTTGCGACGCCCCCTGCAGTACCTCCGCGGCTCCCTGGGGGCCGGGGACCAACCGTTGAAGACCTCTGCTGTAGACCGCTTGCATGCTAACTTTTAATTCAAAACTTTATATCCATACACTATGTTACAAATAACATGAGCCTTCCTAAAATGTTTAAATAGTAATAGTGAAATTATAAATATGAGTCAATATAAAATGAGTTTTT